TACATACATCCTTTGGTGCATTCAGATTTAAAAAAAGATTCAAATCCGAATTCAAAATAACTCATCTTATTGGTAGTAAGAGTTACCACAGAAAATAAACTCGTTTCGGAAGCAAGTTACTCAAAACAGTTAAGTGGTAACAATTGTTACGTGTGTACACTTAAATACATATTTCAGCTATCTTAAGAATCTGCTTCAGTTCTTATAATGAAACAATTGCGGTAACCGTTTTCACTTATGTTATCTGTCAGCATTTTTATTATACTTATTAAATGTTATATTGCATATGTGTAGGCACAGAATTATTCTAAAAATGTTTATTGTTACAATATTTAAATGAGGCATATTTATCAACTAGAGCGGTACTATATTTATAAAAGAAATATATTTGGTAATTATTGTAATATTATATTTAATACTAATGTTAAATAAATGTTTTAAACAAATATAATCTATAAATGTTAGTTTCATTTATATATTATATTTGTTCCTTGTGTCTATGGCATGTTGTTTATATATATATAATTACCTGAAATATTAATTAGTTTCTTTGACCTTAAATATAAGTAAATAGGTTCTTCCAAATACTCGTATGTAGATACACGATTATTATCAAATTGTGTAAACAGGTTCCTATATCACATTTTTTTAAAACAAATACTGAGGTGTTGAATTTTAGTCTATGTTAATGTACCAACGTAAAAAAACTTGTGTTACATCTTCTGCAATAGAAGCTTCAGTGCGTACTGTCTTTTCTTTGGAGTGCTTAGGTACTAACTTCCTCCTACCAGTACGAGTATATTCCAGCGAAACGCTAGTGGCCTAGATATACGCCAGCGCATTTACTCATCGTATCCCACTGACAAACAAAGGGGAGATAACTGTTAAGAAACAGTGTGTTCCCAGTGACCTTCTTGGTCATAAGGCTTTTCTATTTGCACTTTCTGCCAGCCAAATAGATGTTGTGTCTTGGTAACTGGACCAGGGAGTCATGATTTTCGTCTACCTTTCATCTCATTTAATTTCACTAAAAAGGTATAATTTAAAAAATTAACTGAACAAACTCTTAACATTTTAAAAACATACTCAAAGACCTAAGGAAAAAATTGTTACTTAATCTTCATTACAAATGATCTAAATACTTATTTACTACCAGACATATTAAAAAAAAAAAACGATTAATAATGTAAGGTGCGGCTTGACTTCAGCAAACGCGCCCGTGGAATGAAAATTTCGTCTCTCCCGGGAAATAAAGTTAAACCATTCGCTTTAACCACTCATATTGTATACGTTTAAGTAAAATATGTAGGTAATAAAATAAAGCGTAAATTGTGAGGCGGGTCAGTCGTAAATGTTAAATGAATATAATAATAGCGTGGGTGGGCGCAGTCTTTGTAATTTGTAATGTGGTTTCATGATTTATCTAGTGTCCTAATTTGTTTTTACAGTACTCAGAAACACCCTCTTCCTACTACAGTGTTAGAAAGTAGTTGTAGAAATATGCTTTTTTATCTAATTTAGTATTCTCCAAGGACCTTAGCCTTGTAAGAGGAGCATATTCATGTCATCCAGTACATTTGAAGCGGTTTAACAATCAGAAAAAAAACGCGGCATGTAATATGCAAAAAGACGTTACAGGCTACAAGGTTATAGCAGTAACCGCTATCGCCTACCAATCTGATAGAATTTACCATTTTCCTGGCTAAGGAATTCTGAGCTCATTCATGTTGCAATACGTTACGAAGCGGCTGCACGCTGCAGGCTTTCTTTGTTTACGGAGAGGCAACGCGTTAATTGACTAGAAAGGCCCGCAGCGCTATATGTGACAGACCGTGCATTAAGACTAAGTGATAATGAGTCCATGGAATCGTAGAGTCATCTCACGTCCCCTGGTTCCAAGTGTTTGGATCAACGGAGGCAGACATAGCTCTAGAACACGCTTCGTGGTAGCCACCGCGCCTTGCCGGGAGTAGTGTCAATTTCAAACAATACGCGCTTGTAAGAGCATAATGTAGAAGCTCTCGTAATATTGCTTGATTTGACCGCAATTGTCAACAGCTAACGAATCAGAGAACGTCTCGCATCTACCTCTATGAGACCTCACGATAATACCTCAATATTGAAGAGATTACGTACTTACGCTAAGATATTCGTACAAAACTAAATAATAGCGTCTAATTCAATGCAGTCCCTTGTATGAGAAGGGGTTATATTCCTATTCATTATACGTTACACCTCTAATCCCAGCCCTTCAATAACTCGGGACCCTAAGGGTCAATCCAGCTAATTGTAAGGGTCACTCTTTTGTCCATCTTGACCAATCCGTGTTTTTTATGCACTCACACCTTTATCTGAAATTGGTCCAGATGACCCCTGGTCACATTTCAATGTTATTTGAGACGGGTCAATCAGAATTGAATGAGTTGCTAAGGTGGGGTCATTTTGACTATTTTGTAAACGAAGAATGTTGATATATTTTTATCTTTAATTCAATCAAATGCATATTTTTAAGCTATTGCATAGCTTCTATCGAGGGCCTTGAGCGCGGGGACCGAATCAAGAAATTCCGTAACGAAAAAAAACCTCACGCTAAAAACAAAACAAAAAACAGTACCAAAATCAAATGCTGAACGTCAAAGGAAATTTCGTCAACATAATGCAGAAAAATCTTACATGGATATGTAATTTGATTTAATAATAATATTTTTTATTTATTTATTTATAAACAAATTGTAAAATATGCTTCAATATTTTTATTTAATAAAAAAAAAAATTGTTTTCTTATCGGTCACCACGCTCAAAAAGTGTAACTTGAAATAATATCAAAGAAAAAGAAATACTGCATAAATAAAATAAATAAATAATTATAATTGCATAAGTTGATACAAAATGCTATGCAATAGCTTTACCGCGGCAGTCCCCGAGTGCCACACGTCTTTTTTTTTCCTATTAAATAGTGGTTCTACAATTTCTACCGAAGTGGTTCTTCAATTTTTTTTCAGTTGCTAGAAAGTCTTAGGGCCAATAAACTATATATTTAAAAATGTTATGTTTGTTTGTGTACGCTTCAAAACCTCAAAAAGTTCTGCACCGATTAAAATCAAATTTTGAAACGACATAGAAACCACCTTAAAATTTGTTTTTATCTCTTTTTCGCATCAGTTGTGTTCTTTATTTCTCATCAGTTGTGTTCTTTATTTCTCATCAATGCAGCGACAATGCGCCACAGCAAAGCGTAGCAGGGTACAGCTTGCAGCTAGTATTTCATAATTTTACTTTTAACCTCTACGAATAACTTTAGATTAAAATACAATCAATTTAAGTACCTGTATTACGTTTCTCTTGCATATGTACTCGTATAAATACAGAGCCGCACTTTAAATCTTTTCTTTCTTTTTTTAAAAAGACAACTCCCAAATTAGGAATTTATCCTGTGTTGCGGGGGACTTTACAAACACACATGAAACGGACACAAAGAACACCCAGACTCAGAACGACAATTTGTGGATCACACAAAGTGTCGTCCCATGTGGGGATCGGACTCACAACACTCAGCGTAGTAGAAGCGGCGTGGCGACCGCTTAAACCACTACGCCGTCCGTGCAGTCACATCTTTATATTTATATATCGTGCAGGCATCTTTATATTTATATATTTATAATTCTTGTCAAGAGTCAAGAATTAGCTGGATCGACTTTGATGAAATTTTTGTGTGTGTTCAAGTGGACTTGAGAATGGAGTCCACTAGAAAATGTTAGACGAAGTTGCGCGGGTGAACTAGTATACTTATAATTTATTACCTAGCTCTTACATCATTAGAAAAAATTTCAACTTATTTTTATGATCAAATCAGCAATTTACTTTAATGTTAAATAATTTTGAAACTATCTTGTGTTTGACTTAAAGGAGGAACTAAAATATTTAGCATATTAAAGCAAAAACTTCGTCGTGAAAAACATTAACATTATTTTGTAATTAAAAAAAAAAAGTTTAACCGACTTCAAACAATACTAGCAAATAGCACTTAAAATTAAAAAATAATTACAAATCTAATTGGAAGAACCAAAATAAGTGCGACCCTCAATATTAGAGGTAACATTATAATAGAAATAGATACCTTCTAGTCTGTTTGAAGTTGGTGCCAAGCCCAATGATGATTTTAAAAGGAATTATTTTACAATTTTTCGTGTAAAATACGTTTGTAATAAGTAGATACGACATTAAAAACACTAATTACTGTAATGTTATATTACCAAACTATAGTATGTTAGATTATATTCAATTTAGTTTTATTAAGTCCGCTACTTTATTTGATAAGTTAATAAGATGTTAAATGTGAACCCAATTTTTTTCCACATTTTTTCATTTTCCACCTTTAGAAATGGCATTTTTTCTATTAAAACATTTATTTTTGCTTTAAAAGATACATAAAACATATACGGATACAAGGTACATTACAAAAATACGTAAATAATATTATAAATCATTTAGGCACAATGTCTAGCAAAGTGTTTTGAAATCTCATTTATTACTTCCTTGTGCACATATCTCTGTAACCCAACACAAACACCTAACAAATATCTAGAAAGAATAAAACAAGGTCAATACACAATTATATCATTGAAAGTTATCCTCTAAATCCTAAAGGTCAAGGACCCTTCCACCATCAGCTCAGCAACATGACAGAACAACTACCAAACGTTGTCAGGGCTGTAATATTTGAGGGTTTAGCGCGATTTCTGTGGGATCCCATAGTCAGATCCTAATTTAGTGATAATGGGCCTACCTAGGGAGTAGGTATGCCCTTTCGATTACAAAAATAATTTTTAAAATGGGTTCACAATTGACGGAGATATCGCGTAACAAATACAACAAAAAAAAAGAAAAAATACAGACGAATTGAGAATCTCCTCTTTTGTGTTTTTGAAGTCGGTTTAAATAGAATAGCGTATGAAAGGAAATAATTTTACATACGAAACATAAATATATCGATTGTGTGTTTAAATCACAATTCCTTTTTCCTTTCTTCTTTTTCCTTGTCTGTTTTTAAATCCATCTTTATGTAGTCCTTCTTCGTCAATTATCGAATATATTGCTTCTTTTGATTTCAATTTTATTTCTCCTAAAACCATGGTCATAGATTTCAGTACCACATTATTAATTTCTATCCAAGGTGGACCATCAAAATTCCTTTTCCTGATAACTTTTCTTAAAGGTTTAGTCATTAAAAACTGTAGAGGTTGCGTTTTGCTGACATTGTGTACAGTCTTGAACCGCTTTTGACCTATTTGGTCAAATTCTGGTAATATCAAAAAATCTGTAATAGTTTTCTTAGGGTTATGACTTTTTAAATCTGTGGTTGACTTAAGCATGTGTGCCTTTGGTATATGTAAAAGCTTTCTAATGACGTCGTCAAGGATTTTATCAGCCATTTTCAATTGTTTTAAGGAATATTGAGTTCTTACTACAGTAGCACTTATTAGTGGGAGTAAGAATCTAATATACAGCAACATTTTTGACGTATGAGATCCTTGCAAGTCAAATTTTAATTAATTCTGTGGTTATCATGGTAAATCTATAATTTCACGGGTGTTTATCAATTATCTCCGTGCCACTTTGCTATCTAACTACTATTTACACTGAAGCTCTGTATTTCTTAATTTCCACATAGACTAGGTAGGATATAGCAAGTGACTTTTCAGATATCTCCTCTGGAATAGGGAAACATCTTCACTTCGTGCAATTGCTGTTAAGTAGAGTACTATTTAACTATGATATTGTGGTTCACATACAACTTTTGTGGTTCAAATACAACACTATATCTGCGACTAGGATAACTATCTTTCCGAGAATTGAGAGACGAGTAGATGAATGTACCTCCTGGTTCTTTAGACAGGGGGTTGAAAGCTGACTGGGAATTGATTATTGACAGTTACGTAAGTGTTTTTGTTTGAACAAGATTATGAAGATGCAGAAATTTTTAAGCAAACCCTACAAAGATGTCTTAGTAGTAAATAGGAGCACAGGTAAAAAAACACTTATTACTATACTATTTATTATTACTATATCAATGACATGTTGCAAACTAGTAGCAACCATTGCTATGCAGATGATAGCACGGGAGATGCCCTTTACACCGGCCGCCCCAATATTTCTCGAGAAAACGTCATCGAGAGTCGAAACATTGACTAAATCTAGTCCAGTTCAATCCAAAAAAGACACAGGTTTGTGCGTTCACCGTAAAGAAGATACCATTTGTCGTATCACCTCGGTTTGAGAGCACCTCCCTAACTGCCTCAGCCAGCATCGGAATCCTAGGCATCGACATATCGAGCGAAGTCCAGTTAAGTGACCCCACTTAGAGGGTAAGGTCAAATTGGGCCTTCCTAAAAGGCCGGCAACGCGTTTGTGACTCCTGAGTTGCACACGTTCATGGGCGGCGATGGTCACTTTCCATCAGGTGACTCGTCTGCCTCTCTCGTCCCTAAAACATTAAAAAAGAAACACATACGTTTTTATATATCACGCTTAGGGTATCTGTGTCCTATTTGTTACCTCACACGATATGATACACTGTGGGAAGGAATAAATTGTGGGCGTTAAAAAAATACACACAATATTTTAAAAAAAAGTTGGTTTAACTAAAATGTCACATCAAAATATTTTTATTCTCTATCGCCGTTTGTTCTCATCTTATTTTATCAAAGTCGAATAACACAGCTGCAGAGTACAAAGGGCCCAGGGCCGTTAGACGTGCGAAGTTTTAATTGCTAAAATTTGCATAAACGCCCAGGGTCTTATTAGGGAACGTTTGCAAAAACTTACAAAAGACAGGACAGGACGACCGTCGGTGATTGATTACAAGTGGTCAAACTAGAAGGGTTCCTATTGCAAATTCTTAATCTTCCATGCGATAATAAGTAACATAAATTTGTATGTTTAGGATTTGTTTTTAATTAAAATTTCAAAGTATTAAGCTTCTTTGAAAAGACAATAAATGTTTGTTTGTGCATGGAAATATTCCTTAAAACTGCTTTACAATAATATTAATAACTCCACATATATAACAAACAGCAATCTGAACCAAAACTAGTCAGAGCCTGTACTGTGGTAACCAAACTGACGATAAACATACTCAACTGTTTTTAACTACATACACATTATAGATAAATTATACCCAGACACAGAACAAATTGATACTACTCCTAATATGTCGTTAGTGGGTTGGGTTTGAATTGCAAACGGTTTAAGTGTTTGGGTTTTCGTGTTAGAAAATTTCAAAAGAAAGGGGAAAGTGAAAGTATATCATCAGATCAACTGTATGATCGGGCAAAGCGTTTTTTTAACCGTATAATATTTTTCTTGGCTTCCTTCTTATTTAAAAATAGTTTAATAATAAACAGAAAAGTAGAACTCATTCTACTTTCGTTTTACCTGTACAGAAAACGGTACCTGACGCTGATATTTAAAATCGGGAAAAAATAACAATTAAATTAGGCAAGTAGACAAGAATAATACGCGGATGATAGTTGTTATGTTCAAAAGAGATAACATTTCACATATGTTCTCTGTGTAGAAGCTGCAGTAATTCCTTGAAAAGGTTTATTTAAATAGTGCAGAAAAAATACCTATGTATGTAGTTCAAATACAAAAAATTCCACCAAGGTCAATTTTAACAGTCTTTTCCTTCTCTTTTTTCGTGAGATCGAAGAAAACTGATTAATATATTTTTACGAAATATAATGAACACTTTAATCACACAAGGTCGTAATTGATTCTTATAATAATTAACAAAGACTTAATGCCTGAGTAAAAAACAAGAGATATTACTGAGGACAACATTTCTCTGTATTCTGTTTTGGAGCGACGTTTGCGTGTAGTTTAGCTCCATATTGATCTTATATTTCATGCACATTTTTTCACCACCGTCAAACAAAATCTTTTACCCAAAGCGTTTAATACCTTCATTGTAAACAAGACCACTAATCTCATTTACAGACTCAGCTTCCCGAGTCCCACGTAAAAAAAAACAAAGATCGACAATAAACGGCTAAATTACCATAAACAACGCATTATCTGGCGGCGGTTGAAACTGGTTTGTACTGCTTGAAACCTGTTTTATGCGGAAATATCTAACCTTTCTTTCTGACACTCTACGACAATCGGTCTTTTGTTTTTTTTTTTCGATTTGACCGTCTTAGTCACACCGTTGGGGTGATAGATGAAGAGAATAAGGTTTGGACCAGGGATGGACCATTGCAAGGGGTATCTGCGGCATTGTAAGGGTTATACGTGTTATGACCTTTAATAGCCGGATGTTAGCAAAATAGGGTTTTGTTTGGCAATTTTAATTGAACTTTTAAGTGTCTTTCCCATGAGATTTAAGTACAAGGAGATTAGAGAATTGTGCACAAGACCTTTTAAACTACTACGATCTGTTAAAACTTAGGTAGGATATTTATTTTCAAGAACATTCTTCCCTTGTTTGTTTGTTTGTGTGCTGTGTATTATGAATTTCTCCATATTTGATTAATATTAAACACTATAATGTGACAATAAGACTTCTTCTTCTTCTCTTCTCTCTCTTACCCAGTGCTTTGTCCAACATACGATACATATTTTTATTATTAAAATTGCAATTAGTAGTGAGATATACTGCGAGATATACTGGAATTGATTGGCAAAATCTATCATAAAGCAAGCAAAACCACGCGAAAAGTAAACGTTTTTAAATGTTCTAATACTAGTATATATATTCTTAACTATATATAATATAGGTAAATTATATACATCTATGTACATATAAATTATACATTATTTACTTATTTAAGTGCAATAGACGTTTTCTCCCCGTTTTCTTGTTCCGATAACGAAATGAGCATCAAAAGGTGCGAATCGTTGACCTCAATAACTCAATAATTTTCAATTTTTCAACTGAAAAACAGACGAAACTCAACCATAACGTGTTTGGAATAAGAATTAGTAAGTTCAGTTTCAAGTATCGCAATAAGTTGGTTACAGAAACCCAGTCAGCTCATGTAATTGTAAACTTACTTCGTTACGATATCTTTGCAAACGTATATTTGCTACTAAGTAAGACAGCAATTTCTACAGAATAGAGTTTATTTTTCTCTATTTTTTGTACTAACAATAAGTATGTGTTGTGTGTTTTAAGTGAGTAGTTATCAGTAAAACATGTCGCTTTATCGACACGCTTGGGTGAACCAGGCAGATGTCATGGATTTGGAAGTCAACCGACTAACCGTAGATGTTTGAGCCCACCCAACTGGAAAATATTAAAGTATTTTCTAGAAAGAAATTATTAAACTGGAGTCCCTCACAAATTGACTAAAAGAAGGTGAGATATTATATGCTATTGCAACAAAAACCATATTGATAAAGAAATACGATAGATAATTCAATTGATTCAGTACATAACGGAATTATCTCTTAAATAACTTTCACCGTCAATCAAAGTTTCTTAGATAAAAGTAGAATATTGAAATCCAAATATAAACTTAACTCTATGCACAACTGTTTAACTTTTGTGGTGTGATTGAGTGATAAACAGTGATCCAAACATATTGGAATAACTTAACGTAAGTCCAATAATTCGACTTATTTATAAGTACATAAGACAGGCCAGTACACAGGACAGGGAAATATTGGTCTGTTGGCCTATTAACAAATAGGCCAACAGACCAATCTTTCCCACATTTCATTCTTTTGCGGGGTAGGCAGAGACGATAGACATCTTGATACTAATAATTAACTACACTCACTTAGGGGGCCTGACTATTACCGTCGACGGCAGTTCAATATAAAAATAAAGTTATCAAGATGAGAAGACATCAGTAGGATAGAGATGTTGCTCATAAGAAATGATTGGGGAGTGATCGGACATCTAACACACAACGCCATCTAGTTTCAAACTAAGCAGAGCTTGTAATATAAAAGCTAGATTGACTAGTAGAATACTTATTATACTTTTTTTGATATGTAAATACATACGTATTACACAAAACTCCCAAACTCCGAAACAAATATTTACAGATCATACAAACATCAGTAGTCGCATCACTAAAGCAGTCAAAGAGTAAACAATAGTGCAGGTCTAACCAGCCTCTCTTTAATAACCAAACTTAAAATGCTATCAATATATATAAGGATGTTTAGTTGGTTTATGTACGCTTCAAAAACCCAAGCTACTAAAATTCTGAACCGATTGAGCTCTAATTTTGATACAATATACAAACCGCTTCAAAGATTGTTTTTATCCATTTTTCGCGTTAGTTTGATTCTTCATTTCTTATCAATGTAATCGAAGCGAAGCATGTATATCGTGTCAAAATTTGAGTCCAATCGGTGGAGAACTTTTGAGTTTTTGAAGCGTACACAAACCAACTTCACTTTTATATATATATAAATAGAT